ATATATATAAAAATCAGAGAATAGTCACATATATCAGAGAATAGTCACATATATACGAGTTACATAGAATAATTTATATATTTGGCTTTGTTTTATCCACAAGACCTTCCTGCTGTGTGACCTTCCTGCTGTGTGACCTTCCTGCTGTGTGACCTTCCCTGCTGTGACCTTCCCTTGTGTGACCTTGCTGTGTGACCTTCCCTGCTGTGTGACCTCCTGCTGTGTGACCTTCCTGCTGTGTGACCTTCCTGCTGTGTGACCTTCCTGCTGTGTGACCTTCCTGCTGTGTGACCTTCCTGCTGTGTGACCTTCCTGCTGTGTGACCTTCCCTGTGTGATCCTTGTGTGACCTTCCGCAGGACCTTCCTGCTGTGTGACCTTCCTGCTGTGTGTATATAACATGTATATATATAACTATTTCCCTCGCGGTGTATATTAAGTTGATCTTCACTTTTATGGTATTTTTAAACGTAATATTTTATATATATTTTGTGGTCGTTTACAGTATACACCAGGAAACGAAAACATGAAAGTTGTGTATGGCTGCGTTATATTATTTGTATACTCACACAATACTCACACAATACTCACACAATACTCACACAATAATCATACTATCACCTCACACAATACCTCACAATAATACTTATACACACCACACACACTCACAATAATCATACACACTACACAATACTCACACAATACTCAACAATAATATCCACAATAATCACACACCACACAATACTCACAATACTCACACAATACTCACACAATACTATACAATACTTATACAATACTCATACAATACTCATACAAACTCCACACAATACCTCAATAATAACAATTCATACAATACTCACACAATACTCACACAATAATTTATACAACACCATACACACCATACACACCACACAATACTTATACACACCATACAATACTCATAATAACACTCAATAATAACACTCACACAAACTCACACACAACTCACACAAACTCACACACACTTATACAATACCTACACAATACTCACACACACCACACAATACTCATACAATACTCACACAATACTCACACAATACTTATACACACTCATACACACTCATACAATACCACACAATACTTATACAATACTCATACAATACTCACACACTACACAATACTACACAATACTCATACAATACTCACACACAATACTCACACAATACTCACACAATACTCACACAATACTCACAATACTTATACAATACTCATACAATACTTATACAATACTCCACACAATACTCACACAATACTCACACAATACTCACACAATAATCATACAATACTCACACAATACTCACACAATACTCACACAATACTCACACAATACTCACACAATACTCACACAATACTCACAAAAGGTTTAATCTCATTTGCGCCTTTAGATTACCGAGTGCACCTAAACATGGCGTGATTGGCTGTAATGGCGAATCAAAGAGGGATAATCTCTTGATTCTGCAGCGGGATTGGGGGGAGAGGAGAGGGAGAGGGGAGAGGAGGGGAGGATGGGGAGAAAGGGAAGGGAGGGTGTGGGGAAGGGGAAGGGAGAGAGAGAGAGAGAGAGAGAGAGAGAGAGAGAGAGAAGGAGAGAGAGAGAAGAAGAAGAAGAAGAACCGATGTCATCTTCATTAGCCGGATGGACAGGGCAGGCAGGGGAGCGGGCATCACAGAAAGCCGGTTTTACAGTCTCCCGGGTTTAGCTTGCCAATATGCTCTGAATAGATGCCGGATCAGCCTCACTCAATAGCCGTGACGGGCCGAACCAGGCAGGGCCGGATGATGGAGATGAAAGAAGAGGAAGAATGATGAAGGGGAGGGAGGATAAAGAAAATAGGAAGAACGAAAAAGGGAGGATGAAAGAAGAGGAACGATAGAAGACCAGATGATGGAGACGAAATAATAATAATAGTAATAATAATAATAATAATAATAATAATAATATAATAATAATAATAATAATAATAATAATAATAATAATAATAAAATAATAAAATAAAATAATAATAATAATAATAATAATAATAATAATGGAGCAGGCGTAATAAGCTGGGATGAGGGTCCTGGGGGAGTACAAGGAGGGGTCCTGGGGAATAAGCTGGAGTCAGGGGTCCGGGGTAATAAGCTGGGATGAGGGTCCTGGGGAGTAGCTGAGGGGTCCTGGTGGAGCGGTCCGGGCAATAAGCTGGGGTGAGGGGTCCTGGGGAAGTAAGCTGGGGAATAAGCTGGGTAAAGGGTATAGAGCAAGATAAGGACAAACAAGGTTTAAAAGACCAACTCAATACTAAGCTCCTGAGAGAGAGAGAGAGAGAGAGAGAGAGAGAGAGAGAGAGAGAGAGAGAGAGAGAGAGAGAGAGGAGGGGAGGAAGAAGAGGAGGAGGAAGAAGAGGAGAGAAGGAAAAATGAAGAAATGGAGAAGACGCAGGAGAGAAATGGCTTAGCGTTAAGGTCAACCAAGCAGGAGGAGGAAGAGGAGGAGGAGGAGGAGGAGGCGGAAACAGGAGAAGACAGAAGGAAGAGGACACAGCAGGCAGTAGGCAAGGGAGACGGAAGGAGGGATGACAGTAGGAAGCAGGAGACAGGAGGCGGGTAGGGGGTAGGGGCAGGAGGCAAGGGTAGGGGGCAGGCAAGGGCAGGAGGCAGGGGCGGGGGCGGGGCAGCAGGGGGCAGGGGGCGGGGGGCAGGAGCAGGGGCAGGAGGTAGCAGAGGGCAGGATAAGACAGTCTCATTACAAGACACATTTTACAAGGTAGTTAACATGACACTTAACATGACACACTTAACATGACACACTTAACATGACACACTTAACATGACACACGTAACATGATGATAAGGCACTAAATATCTCTGACGTCACACAAGAGTTAACATTGGTATAAAAATAAAAATTAACTTAAAGTCACGAACACCGCCTGGAAAAAGAAGTCGAAAATGGAGGTAGTTTTGGGATGTCGCTCGGTGCCAGTGCGGCGCGTACGGCGCGGCGGCGGCGCGGCGTGGCGGCGGCTTTATGCGAATCTCCCATGATGGCAGACCTGCTCCCCTGCCGTATGAGAGAGAGAGTAGAGGAGAGAAATCATGGGTTTGATTTTCAATGCCTGCTACCTTTGTGTTCCAAGATTTTTCCAGCCTCCCTATGCAATCCGACCCGTTCCCAGATTTTTGTTACGGACCACGAAACCCAAGTAAGAATTTGAATGAAGAGTTTTTGTTTTGGCAAGCGTTGGAAAGAAATGCAAGCTTCAGGATTCTTTAGAGCAACTTAGATCATCGAAATTCGGAGGACGGATTTTTGGACAGAAGCTATGTTGTATTTAGTCGTAGTCCTATGAAGGTCATGTCAAATCCATCAAGAGTGCCATCACGCCAAGATAGTAACGTAATCCTTTGAAGTACCCTTTAACCGTATAATCAAACACTCCAACACTGAAAACCTACCACTTTAGTGGATGGAGTCCAGAAACCCTGACTGAATCACCCCAAAGTGAATGGCCCCATTGGAAGATGTTAAGTTCCAGTGCCTGTGTTTGTGGGTGTGGAAAGGTGGGGAGAGAAAGGTGGTTTTGAGTGTGAAGGAAGTGTGAGAGGTGAGGAGGAGGAGTGGAAAGTGAGAGCAGATAGTCCCAAGTTCAACGTCACAAGCCCTGTGCCTGGCTCCTTCTAGGATAATTAATGTTAGGAGGAGGAAGGAGAGAAGAGGAGAGAGGAGGAGAGGGAGGAAAGGCAGGGGGAGGAGGAAAGGAATAAGGATGGAAAGAGAGAGAGAGAGAAAGAAGAGTAAAAATGAGAAGAGGGAGAGATGGAAGGGAGGGGGAGAGTAAAGGACACACACACACACGATTTTCTACATGTGTGTATGCTTTTATGTGTGTATAATCGCGTGTGTGTATGTGTCTAGTGTACACACATGATACCATGTAATCAAAGTTGTGAAAAACGTGATTGGGTTTTCGCCCTACCAATATGTGTTAAATTCTGCCCAATTAAAACATCCATTCTTACAGTCACCTTACAGTCAGTCACCATCACAGTCAGTCACCCTCACTCTCACACAGCCCTAACCTAACCTAACCTAACCTAACCTAACCTAACCTAACCTAACCTATCTGTGTGTTAGTCAAGAGATCAGAAAATTTCATCTCACACAGTCGAATGAAAAAGGTACATCTCCCAGTCCCTGCATGTGTGTGTGTGTGTGTGTGTGTGTGTGTGTGTGTGTGTGTGTGTGTGTGTGTGTGTGGCTCATCAACTTTCCCTCAAAGGCTGTGGGGTGATATTTTTTTTTCAATTACACCCGCGTTTTTTTATGTAATTTTTAAATAATATTTTTCTCCTCACATGCAGTTTGTGGTGTTAATGGATGGTATTTTGGGGGTGTATCTTGTCTGTCTGTCTGTCTGTCTGTCTGTGTCTGTCTGTCTCTGTCTGTCTATCTGTCTGTCTATCTTTAAGTCTATGTCTGTCTGTCTATCACACATGATCCTTAACCAACCCAAGTAAGGATATTCATGTCATGTATCCTGCCCTTCCATAGGATATATTTTGTAAGGAAGGGTGGGAGGATTCTCTTCACAGGCAAGGGCAAGGTGCGTCTGTTTCCCTTCCCTGGGTTATAGAGAGGGCGCGCGCGTGTGTGTGTGTGTGTGATAGACAGACGACAGACGCACACACCCACGTACACAGAGAGAGAGAAGAGGAGGCTCATGTCGGTATCTGTAATCCTACGCTTGCTAGGATTTACAGCATCAAATCCTACCACAGTCAGCCAATAATGGACGGTCTGTACTCAAAAATCCTCCCCGCCCCTGCCCTTACTGGTTTCAGGAGGGCGAGGAACAGAGGGCGAGGAACAGAGGGCGAGGAACAGAGGGCGAGGAACAGAGGGCGAGGAACAGAGGGCGAGGAACAGAGGGCAGGGAAGATGGGCAGGAAATAGAGGGCGAGGAACAGAGGGCGAGGAAGATGGCGAGGAAACAGAGGCGAGGAACAGAGGGCGAGAAGATGGCGAGAACAGAGGGCGAGGAACAGAGGGCGAGGAAGATAGGGAGGAACAGAGGGCGAGGAAAGATGGCGAGGAACAGAGGGCGAGAAACAGAGGGCGAGGAACAGAGGGCGAGGAACAGAGGGCGAGGAAGATGGCGAGGAACAGAGGGGCGAGAAGATGGCGAGGAACAGAGGGCGAGGAACAGAGGGCGAGAAGATGGCGAGGAACAGAGGGCGAGGAAGATGGCGAGAAGATGGCGAGAGGAGAGAACCTATAGGGGCAAGTGTAGGGAAAGAAGGCAAGTTGATGGGGCGAGGGCAAGTGTGGGATAACTGGTGGGGGGAAGAACCAGGCTAATGGACAAGAACAAACTAGGGCCTATTAGAACTGGGCCCATTTAAGACAGGGCCCATTAAGACAGACAGGCCCATTAAGACAGACAGGGGCCCACCTGACCAATAAAAAGGTGTTTCTTCCCCTCTTTCCTTTTTACTTGTCTATAATTACTGTGTTTTACCTTCTTCCTCTTCTTCTCTTTGTTCCTCATTCGTATTAATTGTTTCTCTCCTTCTCCTCCTCCTCCTCTTTCTTCTTCTTCTCCTCCTTCTCTTTCTTCTTCAGATTATTATTATCCCTCTCGGATACACCACCTCTCTCTCTCTCTCTCAGTATACATCGGAGGGACTGTGGTAGTGGCAGCCATTTCTCAACCCGAGTCACCAAACTTCTTTCCTGCAACACGGACACTTCCACGCCTTCAACAAGGACACCTCCACGCCTTCAACAAGGACACCTCCACGCCTGTAACAAGGACACCCCACGCCTGTAACAAGGACACACTCCACGCCTTCAACAAGGACACCTCCACGCCTGTAACAAGGACACCTCCACGCCTTCAACAAGGACACCTCCACGCCTTCAACAAGGACACCTCCACGCCTTCAACAAGGACACCTCCACGCCTGTAACAAGGACACCTCCACGCCTGTAACAAGGACACCTCCACGCCTGTAACAAGGACACCTCCACGCCTGTAACAAGGACACCTCCACGCCTGTAACAAGGACACCTCCACGCCTGTAACAAGGACACCTCCACGCCTGTAAACGCCTTCAACAAGGACACCTCCACGCCTGTAAAAAGGACACCTCCACGCCTGTAACAAGGACACCTCCACGCCTTCAACAAGGACACCTCCACGCCTGTAACAAGGACACCTCCACGCCTTCAACAAGGACACCTCCACGCCTTCAACAAGGACACCTCCACGCCTGTAACAAGGACACCTCCACGCCTGCAACAAGGACACTTCCCACGCCTGTAACAAGGACACCCTCCACGCCTCAACAGGGACACCTCCACGCCTTCAACAAGGACACCTCCACGCCTGTAACAAGGACACCTCCACGCCTTCAACAAGGACACCCCCACGCCTGTAAAAAGGACACCTCCACGCCTGTACAGACACCTCCACGCCTGTAACAAGGACACCTCCACGCCTGTAACAAGGACACCTCCATGCCTTCAACAAGGACACCCCACGCCTGTAACAAGGACACCTCCCACGCCTGCAACAAGGACACCTCCACGCCTGCAACAAGGACACCTCCACGCCTGCAACAAGGACACCTCCACGCCTGTAACAAGGACACCTCCACGCCTGCAACAAGGACACCTCCACGCCTGCAACAAGGACACCTCCACGCCTGTAACAAGGACACCTCCACGCCTGCAACAAGGACACACTCCACGCCTGTAATAGACACCTCCACGCCTGCAACAAGGACACCTCCACACCTGCAACAAGGACACATCCACGCCTGCAACAAGGACACCTCCACGCCTGCAACAAGGACACCTCCACGCCTGTAACAAGGACACCTCCACGCCTGTAACAAGGACACCTCCACGCCTGTAACAAGGACACCTCCACGCCTGTAACAAGGACACCTCCACGCCTGTAACAAGGACACCTCCACGCCTGTAACAAGGACACCTCCACGCCTGTAACAAGCGCGACACCTGCAACAAGGGACACCTCCACGCCTGTAACAAGGACACCTCCACGCCTGTAACAAGGACACCCACGCCTGTAACAAGGACACCCACGCCTTCAACAAGGACACCTCCACGCCTGCAACAAGGACACCTCCACGCCTGCAACAAGGACACCTCCACGCCTGTAACAAGGACACCTCCACGCCTGCAACAAGGACACCTACGCCTGTAACAAGGACACCCACGCCTGTAACAACAAGGGACACCCTCCACGCCTGCAACAAGGACACCTCCACGCCTGCAACAAGACACCCTCCACGCCTGCAACAAGGACACCCACGCCTGCAACAAGGACACCTCCACGCCTGCAACAACAAGGACACCTCCACGCCTGCAACAAGGACACCTCCACGCCTGCAACAAGGACACACCTCCACGCCTGCAACAAGGACACCTCCACGCCTGCAACAAGGACACCTCCACGCCTGTAACAAGGACACCTCCACGCCTGCAACTTGCAACACTTGTTATAAGAGCTGAGGGGAGGAGGGGGGATAGGAGGCTGCTAGAGTGTATGGTGCTGAACAGCTTTGTGGTATAAGGAGAGAGAGAGAGAGAGAGAGAGAGAGAGAGAGAGAGAGAGAGAGAGAGAGAGAGAGAGAGAGAGAGAGAGAGTATAAATAAATAGATATTACTACATGTGCGGTGGACCAGCAGAGCTCAGCCTTGTCTCTTGGGTCACTGGTCTAATGGGCCCCAGTCCTAATGGGCCCCAGTCCGTTAATTAAAGGTTTTTACAGTCATAATATTAATAAAACCAACTCCGCAATAATATCCGCACTCTGTATCCGCACTCTGAACCCGCACTCTGAACCCGCACTCTGAACCCGCACTCTGAACCCGCACAGCAATATACCTGGCGTACCTGATGGTAATTAATCGGGACAGGTGGAGGTCTTAACTCAGGTATTTCTCGGCTTCTTAACTTTTACCAAATTTAAACGCAAGGAATGTTGTCTTGAGCCTTAATTAAAAGGTGGAATCTGTCTACCTGTCCCTGTTACTGGAGGTGTGTATGTATGTATGTATGTATGTATGTATGCATGTATGTATGTATGTATGTGTGTACTATGTATGTATGTATGTATGTATGTATGTATGTATGTATGTATGTATGTATATGTATGTATGTATGTATGTGTGTATGTATGTATGTATGTATGTATGTATGTATGTATGTGTGTATGTATAGTATATGTATGTATGTATGTGTGTATGTATGTAATATATAAACAAGAATAAACCAACAAAAAACACAAACTACTGTCAACACAAATTTACGGACGAGGAATGGACGGACGGACGGACGGAGACCACGTACTGTACTTAATAACGGTGCGGTACTTAGGAGGATTACCCTGGCTGCATTAATTAAGCGCGGGGTAATAGGATTCCATAGATAATTAGCCTAAGAGTAATTAGTTGGAATTAATAGGGGAGAATTGTACAAAAACAATAAGGTGCCAGAAAATAGTTAATTAAGCTTATCAAAAGAATTAGAAGCTTGAAACATAAACAGTAATTAATAACAAAATGCTATGATAGGTCAAAATTAATTGGGTGAATGAGTTGAGTTACTTATAATTAAATAATCTGTAAGAATATAATAATTAGTTGAAATAAAAAATGTGATGTAAACAAAACTTGTGAGTGAAGTAGTGTTGTTGTTGTTGTTGTGGTTGTTGTAGTTGTTGTTGTTGTTGTTGTTGGTGGTGGTGGTGTAGTTGTTGTTGGTGTGGGTACTGTGGGTGTTGTTGTTGATGTTATTGGTGTTGTTATTGTTGTTGTTGTTGTTATTGTTGTTATTATGGTTGTTGTTGTTGTTGTTATTGTTGTTGTTATTGTTGGTATTGTTATTGTTGTTATTGTTACTGCTGTTGTTTTTATTATTAGTGTCGTGTTATTGTTGTTGTTGTTGTTGTTGTTTTTAATTCTCGATAACTCAGGTGACTGCGGCGGTAAAAACTTTCCCTTCACTGAGTTACTGTTTTGTGGTCAATTGTTTAACAGAAATTAACCGAGAAAAATTATATTAATGTTTGGGGCGGGGGTCGGGTGTTTACGATCTGGGTATAAACATTACCAAGGTGTAAACATTAGCAAGCAACGTTTTTTGTAAGTGTAAACATCAGCAAGCAACGTTTTTTATATTCTACGTGTAAAATATTAAATAGCAACGTTAATAAATAATGCATGGCCCTACCCTGTACATAGAAACCAGAGAAAATAGGTAAATTAATACTGTATAGGCCTACCTGTATTAATGAACCACAAATAATGCGTAGGCCTAGCTGTACTTAGGAACCACAATAAATATATAAACCAATGCATAATGAATAGGCCTACCTTGTAATGAAGAACCAGGAGAAGCAGCCGTTATCTGAAAAGAGAATAATAGTACGCGGGCAGATAAATAATTCAATAACATATAAAATAAATCACACACACGTACACACACACACACACACACACACAGTACACACACACACACACACACACACACACACACACACACACATACACACACACACACACACACACGATAATAATAATAATAATAATAATAATAATAATAATAATAATAATAATAATAATAATAATAATAATAATAATAATAATAATAATAATAATAATAATAATAATAATAATAATAATAATCTACATATATATATAAACAAACCTTGATTTTAGGCTATTCGTGTTGTTTACCACGAAATAAAAAAATGCCTTAACTAATGTTCGTGTCTCACTCCTAACATCAATCTCTGTACCCTGACGAGTTACGGCAATTGTGAAGGTGAACTGTGGTAGTCACTTTACTATTTAGTTGTTATCTTACTTCCTCAATAGTGAACCATTACTACCCAACCATTATACAACCTTCATAAGGAATATAAGAAACTGAAACGCCTACTTTTAGTGTTAATAAGGTGAGTTTAACTTGAGAAAAATTATTTAATTGAAGGAATGAGTTTGGTATTTTCACGTGGAATTCCATTATTATTTACTCTTTAGTAGTTCTTTAATATTGTAGTGATATATAAATTGCATTTGAAATTATAGGTTAAGTTAAAATCGCAATAATTGGCTAAAACAATATAAAATACCTTTAAATTCGCAGAAATTGGTCGTTTAAATCCCCGGGTGTCCACAGGTGTTGTCCAGCCTTTGTTTACATCCAGTGGTGTGTGAGACTACGAGCCTAAAATCATTTCTAAAGTACAACACGAACCTAACTAATTTATCCTATCTTATCTAAATAAAATGAAAATATATTAGTATCGTGAATAAAAAAAAAAGTACTACTGTATGGTTAGGTTAGGTTTTATTTTGTGAAAGAAATTCCTGTTTTGCTTCGTTTTTGTCATATTTACATTCAGGTATTTAAACAAACATATTAATGAACAGTTTCTCAATAAATTATATTTATTAGTGTATGAAATAACTTAAAATATACACAAAAACAATTAATAACCAACGAAATAAATTAGAAAATATAAAATAAATGGTCCGTCACACACACCAAGACATCCACTTAATGTACTTCACTTGAGAGACGAGTAGAGACAGAGAGAGGGAGCGAGTAGAGACAGAGAGAGACGAGTAGAGACAGAGAGAGCAGTAGAGACAGAGAGACAGTAGAGACAGAGAGAGACGAGTAGAGACAGAGAGAGACGAGTAGAGACAGAGAGAGACGAGTAGAGACAGAGAGAAGAGTAGAGACAGAGAGAGAGAGAGACGAGTAGAAGGAAGAGACAGTGGAGACAGAGAGACAGTAGAGACAGAGAGAGAGACGAGTAGAGACAGAGAGAGAGACAGTGAGAGACAGAGAGAGACAGTGAGACAGAGAGAGACAGTAGAGACAGAGAGACGAGTAGAGACAGCACTGACCCAAGTTAACGGTTTAATCACGGCAGGATTTTGTCTCTAGCCCTGAACCAGATAGTGGAGTGATAATGGTGTAGTTTTTCCCCCGCTGTTAGTGTTATCAGTGGAGCCATTCTAAGGGAGAGCGCCCTATTGTACCTACTCTTTATATCACCCGGAATTATTATTATTATTTTTTTTACGGGAAAATTTTCACCATTTTTTATACTTTGTTGATAATTAAAAAAAAATAAATTCTAGTTAAAAATGTTAGTTATGTTTGTGTAAAGGCGTAACTAAATCATTCGCGTTTAATAAGTGTCTTTATTGAGAGATTAAACCAAGACATTATTGTTTGGTGTTATATAAGTATTAGTGAAAGCATAACTGTGGATTAATTAGGTGTTCATTATTACAGGTGCGGGGCCGTAAAGAGTGATGACGTCATAGAGGTGTGATGACGTCAGAGAGGTGTGATGACGTCAATAGGGTGTGATGACGTCATAGAGGTGTGATGACGTCATAGAGGTGTGATGACGTCATGGGTGATACGTCAGAGAGGTGTGACGTCTAGGTGATGAGTCAATCTACCATGTTTAACCCCAGCCATCATGATAAGGTTGGTTAATATATCTGTCAGTTATTTGTCTGTATTGGATAAGTTTGTCTTCATGTATGATAGTATAAAACCGTCTTCCTGTACATACATACATACATACATACATACATATATACGTACATACACGGACTCCTACATGCACACACACAAAAGTTTTCCTGTTTCTTTCATAACTAACGAGATCTTGGTTATGAGAGCTTCCCCGGTCTGTTGTGTTGTAACAAGGTGGCCTCTCTCTCTCTCTCTCTCTCTCTCTCTCTCTCTCTCTCTCTCTCTCTTTTAGCTGTAACAAGATGGCCTCTCTCTCTCTCTCTCTCTCTCTTTTAGCTGTAACAAGGTGGCCTCTCTCTCTCTCTCTCTCTCTCTCTCTCTCTCTCTCTCTCTCTCTCTCTCTCTCTCTCTCTTTTCTCTTCTTCTCTCTCTCTCTCTCTTTTAGCTGTAACAAGGTGGCCTCTCTCTCTCTCTCTCTCTCTCTCTCTCTCTCTCTCTCTCTCTCTCTCTCTCTCGCTTTTAGCTGTACAAAGGTGGCCTCTCTCTCTCTCTCTCTCTCTCTCTCTCTCTCTCTCTCTCTTCTCTCTTCTCTCTCTCTCTCTCTCTCAAACACTTTCCCAATCATGAAAATTTGAAACAACTCTAAAAGAAAAAATAAATAAAGTTATATGAAGAAAATAAACAAAGAAATTAACAAAAAAAATTAACAAAAACAGCAAAACAAGAAAAGTTAAATAAAAGAAGAAGAAAAATATGAACGAAATGAAAGTTTGAAAGACCAGATCTGTTTTTGTTATCACTGGAGTCCATCTCATTTGGAGCTATAGATTGGAAGCTCTTGTTCAAACACGTCTCATAGATTTAAAAGGGAATAAGAAAATAGATTAGTCCTCCCTTTACCTGGTTTATTTTATTGTATTTTTTCTTGTTTATTGTTTTCTTGGTTTATTTTACTGTATTTTCTTGTTTATTGTTTTACTTGGTTTATTTTACTGTATTTTTC